AGTAAAAACTTAGTTATCTATATTAATAAACTCTTTCTTAGTAGAGAGAGTATAAATTACCTAACTACTTATATAAGAATAAGAACTAGAAAGAGCTTCTTCTTTACTATTAGGCGCTTCTTAACTAATAAGACTATAGTACGCACTATACTTAGTCTAGATATAGTTAGAATAGGTACTATTCTACTCTCTAGAAATAGAGATATAACTAGTAAAAGTAGTAAAGGCTTTAGCACTATATATAGTATAAGCGTAGTTATTAGAGTAGCTAGTAGAGTTAAGAACACTATAGATATAGATAATAAAAGTCTTAATATATAAGTTATATTTAGTAAGAATTTAGTAAGTATAGATAGTGCTATAAGTAATAATAGAGAAGTACTTACTATTACCTAGACTCTAATAGACGTTATATAGTAAGTTCTAGATAGAATAGAGAAAAAACTTAGTAATATAGTAGATAGAAGCTTATTAGATAGTTAGTAAAGTAAAAGAGAAGTTAAGAGAAATATATAGAAGCTATTATAAGCACATAATAAAGCTTATTAGTAATCTTTCTATTAAGAATATACTAGATAGAGTAGTTATTTATATTAATACTACCTTATATATTAATAACTATAATTATAGTATTAGAATAGTTGCAAGTAAGTAGGTAATAAGTAATATTCTAGAGGTTAGTTACAGCGTTAGCGTATAAGCTATTAGTCTAACTACTAGTAGTAAAAGTAAAGTAGTTAGAACTATTAGCAGCCTAAATACTATAAGTAGAAGTAGCTATTATTAGGTTATTATATAAGAGGTTTTAATAAGAAGTAAAGAAGTTAGTATAAAAAAAAAATAAGTTAAGAGAGAGAAGCTAGCCTTATATACCTAGAAGAAAGCGCTAAAACCCTCTCTTACTATAAGAAGTAGTTAAATAATAATAGCTAGATCTATACAAGAGGCCTTATTTACTATTAGAGTAGTTAAATAATAATTAATATATATATATAGAAGTTAGATTTACTATAAACTCTAACGTTATATTATAAATACTCTCTTATAATAATATATTATATATAATTCTTAGAAGAGAAGTATTATAAAAGACTACGCTATATTAAGTAGATAGTTCTAGTTATATAACGTATAACTTAGCGCTAACTAAAGTAGTAAAGTATAAGGTCTATAAAAGGTAAGTTATACGCGTAAAAAGAATCTTATTATAGACTAGTACTATAAAAGCTAAGGCTTTACCTTAGTAAGTAATTATAGAAGTAATTATATAGGCTTAAGTATTAACTACGTAAGATAACACTTAGCTTTATTATCTTATACTCTATCTTTTTAGTATATAGATAGCGTATATAGTTATACGCTTAGCTTAGTAAGTCTACTTATTATAAATCTTTCTTCTTTTATCTTTCTTCTTTTATATATAGAACAAATACATACTTATTAGTAGACTTCTTTTTACTTATAATATAAAGTAGATTCTACCTTATAGATTATAGCTGTATAGCAGGTAAACACTCTATCTATAGCTTATAGCCTAAGACTTAGCTTACTAATAGTCTACTACTATAGCTTAATAGTGTAGATAAGGCGCGCCTTATCTACTATAAATATAGATAAGATCTATAGAGGCACGTATAAAACTATACTACTAAGAACTAAAGAACTAATAGAGTATAAGTAGAGAACCTCTTCTATTCTAACTTTACTAGCCTTATTAACTTTAGAAGTAGTAATTAATAGCGCTCTAACCTAGTGTATAAGAATTATACTAAGTAAATTAAAATTATATTAAATAAGTAGCTTTAGAACGCTATATAGCACTAGTTTCTCTTATCTAGATAATATTACGCTAGCGTAGTATACTTATCTACTACAGCTCTATATAGCTATAGTCTAGTTACACTATATCTACTATAGTAGAGAGATTAGTATCTCTATTAGAATAGGTACTTAATATAATTTAATTATATTATATTGTATATCTATTATTATCTAAACGCAATTTAGACCTACTATATCTATACGCGAAATAAGCTAGGTTAAGTAATAAGCTACCTATAATATTATTCTTATAACTTTAATATATTATAACTTTACTACTATAAGTCTAATCTAAGAAGTAGTTAAATATTTAGAGTTATATAAAGCTAGAGATAATTTCTTATACTATAAAGTTACTATTATTATTTAAGCTAAAGAATACCTAGGCGTTAGCGTAATTACTTTAAAGAATTGTATAGTATAGTTATAGAGTTATAGTACAAGAACTACGCTATAGTTACGTAATTACTTATCTATAAGTATAATAATACTAGTTTTATATAAGTACTTATCTATAAGCATAAGTAGTTAGACTAATAACTAGTAAGATATATTACTACTTATCTATAATTACTTATACGCTTATTTATAAGTATAACACTTATTAAGTATATAGCTTAGATATAGAACTCTTATAGTTTAGTGTATTTAACTTTATATAAGACTCTAGTATTTAATCTAAGAATTATACTTCTTTCTTAACCTCTTATAATATTACATTATTCTACTAAATATACTATTATACTCTTATACTATTACATTATTCTACTAAACGTACTAGTACACTAACCTATTCTACCTTACTTACTTACTCTCTAAGAACTAACTCTTAGATTATTTTAGAATAACCTTTATAGTTATAAAAAGGTTTAGAGTTAATTAAATAACACTTACTTAAAGGCACTATAACTAATACTAGCTCTATACGCTTACTTACCTTACTTTATATCTATAATATAAGAAGAAGCTTATATAGTATATTAAGAGGCTTACTAAGTAATATTTACTATCTATAAAGTTAATAATACGTAACTTTGCGTTATTCTTAGCTAGAAGAAATATTTTAGAAACCTAGGTTATACGCTTTATAAATAAAAACTTCTTCTATCTTATATTATATTAGTAGATAGTAATAGACTATAAGTGTTATAAAGCTAATTTAGAGGTAAAGTATAGCTTATACTTTAATTACCTATATAATAAAATAAAGAAATATAATATAGAGTCTACCTATATATATAATATAGATAAAAAAAAGTTTTAAATTAGATTACTTAGATATTTAAAACGCGTATTTAATAAGGTATTATATAATAAAAAAGAGGTTAGAGTAGCTTATTAAGATAGTAATATATAGTAGGTAACTATTCTAGCTTACGTTTATGCAGATAGTATAGCTTTAAGCCTATTACTTATTTTTTAGTTAGCTACTAGAGCTCTATAATTCTTATAGGTAAACGCTATTAATAGTAAAAAGTACTTAGTCTTTATAAGCTTATCTCTATTAGGCTAGATAAATAATAATATAGAGCTTACTTAGTTAAAGAAGGTATTTAAGAGAGAGACTAGACAGTAAGCTTACTTAGGTTACTAATTACTTATTCTTAATAGCTATAGATTCTATATAACTATAGAGTTTATTAACTATTATAAAAATAATAAGATTCTATTAGCTACGTTTCTATCTTACTTAACCTATACGCTTTAACTACTTAATATTAGAATATTTAAGCCTCTCTTAGAAGCTTACTTAACTAAGCTTATAAACTACCTTTAGAGAAGTTAGAGAATTCTTCTAGTAATAAAAGAAGACTTCTTTCTACTTTTTTAGTATACCTAGAGTACTTCTTTTAAGCCTTAAACTATTAGAAAATCTTTTAAAGCTACTAGTATTTACCTATCTAGCGCTAATATTATACTTAAGAAGTTCTATAAGAAGATATTTAGTTTAGATAAAAGCTCTACTTCTTACCTTAGTAGAGATAACTAGCTTAAACTTAAGTCTATTATACGTTATATAGTAAAAGATTAAAGTAGTAAAAATATTAAGAAGCTTTACTAAAGTTTATACTATATTTTAGCTTAAAATAGTATTTTTTATAAAAAGATTAAAGGTCTTAAAGATACTTTTATAGTTAAAAAAAAGTAATAAAAGAAAAGCTTTACTTTCTATCTTAATAACTCTAAAAAGTACTATACTAGAGCTATTTTCTAGTTATCTAAGAAAGTCTAGTAAGCTTATAAAAATAAAACTTTATAATAGTAGTAAGTATAGTAACTATAACTATAAAAAAATAAAAAAAATAAGCTTAAGAAAAAAACTTACCTTTATAAGCTTTAGCTAGCTTAAAAAAAGTATACTAAAAGAAAAAAACTTAAAAAAGTATAAAAAAAGAAGTAGACTATAAAAGAAGCTAATAAAAAGTGCTAAAAAGCTTTTTATAATACTTAAAAAGCTATATAACTACTCTAAAAGAGTAAGTATAAAGTTTTATAAGTCTTTAAGCCTTCTAAAAAGTATTAGAAATATACTATTATTAGTATAACTTATATAGTAGCTAGTAGTACTACTATAAATACTTTAGTATAAAAGACTAAAATATAATTAATCTAGAGATCTAGAAAATATTCTAAGTAGTATAAATTATTTATAAGTATATATTTAGTATAATATAAAGTTATTATAATATTATCTCTATTTACTATAGTTCTATAGCCTTATTTTTTTAGTTTACTTATGTTGTTAGAGTAGCTTATTACTTAACCTAGCTTATTTCGCGCATAGATACAGTAGTGCCTAGCTTAGTATATACACAGGCGGGGATCACACAAAGCTATGGCTAGATAGGTTGCTATTATCCGCCAAGCAGCAATTTCGCACTGCGAATTCGCTCTACCGACCAAACCCGTCAGCTGTCGCGATGCGCAACTACCGATTCCGCAGCCTGAAAGATACATAGACGTCAATGCTTGGCATGATCTGCCCCCCAATTGGCCAATCCACAGGCTTGCCGGTGCGTTTCGGGGTGAAGCGCATCTCGTAGTCGACCAGGAACTTTGCAAAGACAATCTTTGAAGTTTCAGTTGCGAGAAATCTTCCAGGGCATGTTTGCGTGCCGTAGCCAAAGCTGGATGCCATTCGATTAGCCCATGTCAAACAGAAAATCTTGGGCTATAACTTACGGGAGATAGGTTCGGCTCTGTGTAACTGACTTGGCCTTGACAGTGTTGGTCTCGGCATTGTAGAACCGATATGCATCAAACTCCAATGGCCGCTCATAGTATTCTTCATCTCGCTGGATAGCCAACGTCGGGAATCCGATGAGCGTGCCCGCTTTGATGACTTCGCCATTCGACAATGGTATATCCGCATCGACCTTGCGCTGCAATGTGACTGAAAAACCTTTGTCAGCATACTGATTCCCAGTCTCGATCCACATCCAAAGTACGACTTACGCGCAGTCGGAGGACTCAACCTCAGCGTCTCCCTCAAAAAGCTATCCAGCTTCGGCATCCGCGCACACGCATCCTTATTCCAACCCCCACACTCACGCACCGCCTTCTCAATCTCCTCCCGCAGCGGCTCCATGTACTCCGGACGTCCCAGCACCGACAGAATCAACTGGCACACAACCACCGAAAACAATCCCGCAGCCGCAAACGTCAAAAATAGCTCTTGATTCACAATTCGCGCATACGACGCCTCGGTCCCATCTTTCGCGCTCTTCAGCAACCCATCCAGCATCGAAAAATTCTTCGCCTCGTAGCCCGCTGCTTGCCGCTTGCGCAGCTCCGGATACACGAATCGCTGTACGTGTCGCTGGTGCGCGCGGATCTTGCGACCCCCGCTGGACACCCACCAAAAGGGTACACGAAGGAACGCGGGCATGGCGAAGAGCGGCGCGTTCCAGGATGTGACTTCCTCGGTGTAGCCGCGTGCGTGGTGGATGTAGTCTGGATTGGCGGCGAGCTCGGGGCCGACCATGACGGCGGCGGTGACGCGGTGGATGATGTCGAGGGTGGCGTCCCAGAGCATTACGTTTCTCCAGCCTGGAAGGTGGTGTTAGTTTTATTTGGTCTTGTCTTGTTGGAGGGCCGGGAAAGGGTGAATGACTGGCGTACCTCTGGTGTTTTTGGGCGGTGCGAGGCGCTCGGCGATGGCGATGTCTGTTTGCTCGGCGATGTAATCGGTCATACTCGCTGCAAACAACGTTAGCCCGTTGTATCCGGTATATCGCCTCAAAAGGATTTGGTTTCCTATACGTACGGAGACTGAAGTTTAGTTGCGATTTCACGGCTTTGACGTAGTCGCGCTGACACACCATGTCGCCGACGTGCAGGTTCCACATGAAATGCTGTTGACTAAGTAAGCTTCAGACTCGCAAATCAACCACAGGTTGCCGTATCCCATTACCTCATCGACTACTTTGAGAAACGAGAGTTTCTGTAGCGGCTGGTTCTTGATGTCGTCGAAGAACTTTGGTGGAAGAATGTGGATCAGCTCGTCGTTGATCCATGTCGCCCAGATCTTGTCCTGCTTGGTGTACTACAAACAAACCCCTTCTTTTTAGCTTCTCTATTTAGGTATATATCTTTGGAGTTGGGCTTGTGTGTACCTTTTTGTAGCCATCGAAGACGACATTGTTGGGGTCGAGATTGAATTTTGTCATCATGGTGCGGCGCAGCCACCATCCGCAGTCGCCGAGAATGACATGCTTGCTTCCGCGCCGCTCGAGGTGGTCGTAGAACAGGCCGAGGCTGAAAAGGAGGATTGCGATGGTGCATAGGCTGGCAACTAGGGGGTTCCAGATATTGGAGGATGCAGGGAAATAGCCATGGGTTGATGGGTAGGTGGGAGAGGTGGTATCCGCTTGCGTGCTGTTATCGGACCATGACATGGCTTCCATGGTGTTTGGCTGCGTATGTCCTTGCGTCAAGAAAACGAGTAGGTGTATTGTTTTGACAAACGATGGCGAAAAAATGGGATATACGGCGGAGCTGACTTCGTTGGCGCGTCTGGGATCGGGTACCGAGTGACTGCCGGTCTAAGACGCCAGTCTTACTTTTACATCGCTACATCCTTGTAACGATTTGACGCAGTGAGCTGGCCTCATGCATTAAGAAAAGATCTGTTTGGAAGGCTTAGACGAGCATACCATCAATGACAAGCGTCTGGGCATATCGGCTGCAAGCACCAGATGATTATATTGGTCAGATCCCGCGTCCACGGACACCGACACATGTTGATGCTTTATATGTGCACGACTGGAGCCGTGAAGAACATGTGTACCCTACAAGCCATCCATTGCGATAATTGCAAAAAGATTCCAATTACGCACGAAAATGTCCGCCTTGCCCAAATACGAAGCAGAAATGCTCTATATCGAGCCCTGGCAAGACAAACAGGAAGCACCCTACTACCGCACGAACCCAGACCCCGGTTTCGAAACCAAGAACTACGACTGGATTCCCTACAAAGTCAGCGTGGAAGACTGTCGGTCGCGCAGAGACGACTTTACGCTGGATGACCACGCCTTCACCTTTGTTGATGATGCCGATGGCGGATGCCCAGAGCTACTGCAAGCGATTCGCGACATTGACGTCGCAACAATCGAAAAGGAATACTATCCTGCGGTTGAAGCGCTCGTCAAACGGAAAACGGGGGCGGACAAGGTCATCATTTTCAATCACTCCATTCGCAAACGCGATCCGAGTGAAGGGTTCTTCGGGAGCCCAGGGAAGCAGCAGCCGGGACGTACGGTACGTGATGTTCTTTGTTGATAGTAGGAAGAACATGCTAATACTGGCTCAGGTGCATTGCGATCAGTATGTCTAGTACTGCCTCGGGCGTCTAGACCAATGAAGCTGACGCGGCGACAGAACACCCAAAGGCGCTATCCGGCGTGCCCGTCAATATGCCGGCGAAGAAGCCGAACAACTTCTCAAAGGCCGGTTCAGAATCATAAAGTAAGCGCCGCCAAACCTTTCTCCACACAGCAAATGCCAGCATGATCCGTACTAACACACACACACAGCGTCTGGCGACCCATCAACGGCCCCGTACAAGACTGGCCCCTCGCAACCATGGACGGCAAATCCTTGCGTCCAGAAAACTTGCACGCGACAGACCTATGGAAGCACCAATGGGAAGAACTGGGTTCGACGTACAACATCAGCTACGGTGAAGGACAGAAGTGGTATTACCTTGGTGGACAACGCTGCGATGAAGCGCTGTTGATCAAGATTTATGATAGCGCGCCGGATGTGCCCGCGAAACGTAAGTGTGGTTCTTGTGTATGTTGATGTAACGTTGTGACGATGGTTGTTGACGTTGTTCTTTTGTTGCAGTTTGCCCGCACTGTGCGTTTGAGCACCCGGAAACGAAGCCTGATGCGCCGAGACGGGAGAGTATTGAAGTGAGGTGTTTGGTGTTTGGCGGGAACTGATTTGGTGTTGGATGGTTTCATGTTTCTGGGCGACTACTGGGGAAACTAGCTGTTGGGTGTGGCTGTAGTCGACTTTTGGGCAAGGATGTCAGTCCAAATGATGATAACCTGTTGGCATTGGACGATCTGGGAATTAGTATGCTATGGATTCAATCAAAAACATATCCTTCTGAGGCATCGAGTATAGTACTTCGAATAAGGCCGACGACTACACGTGATAGTCGAATCCAGAAATCGAACACTATTGATGGGATATGGTGTATTATTATGTCTATATCTACTTCACTTAATGCCAAAGGTGGCACGTAGATGATTCTAAACTATCGTTCTTTGATATCCAAGCAGTAGTGTAAGCAGTTCTTTCGAATCGGCCATATGCCCCTGGACCAAGCCACAGGGCTGCAAACTTCAGCTAAGAAAATGCATGCTACCAAGACGAGCATCCTCCCATTTCTTTGAGCATCCGAAGGTATAGTAAATTTGACACATTACTTTGCTTGCTTGACAGATCTAACTAAGACAACATCCGCTCCACAAATGGGCCCCACACTGTCCCTGGAAATGGTGAGGTCTCTCCTATTCTTAGCTTCAACAGCACATCCGCTGCCCACGGCAACGATGTCCAGAATGACCACGTAACCCAAATATAACCCACAACATTCTTCCATACGTGACTTTCCTGGCCGCCTCCACATACAGCTCGCCATAGATAGATTACGAAATCCTCGGCCGTAATAGCCGCGGCCTGCCAAATGAAATACAGAAGCAGACCTCGCCAGCGATCCCATTCTGGAACGTTGGCTGGGCATGGCATCAAGGTCATTGAGGCCGCATGCATGACACCAGAGATGGCGAATGAGATCCAAAGCTGAGTGTACGAGGAAGTGTTCGTTCCGCGCTTGATGCCCAAGGCATCGACGAGAGAGCCGGTGAGGCCAGACAGCGGCTTTTGATAAGTCGTCAGCGCCCGTTTGACAAGAAAAAGCCATGAGTGTTAGCTCACCTTGCGGATCATTTGGTGCCAGAATTTTCCCCAGAATGCGCGCACTGTCGTCGCTTCCGCTAGGCGGGCAAAAAGAGGGGGCCAGTCCTGTAAACCACAGGTTAGATGATACTGCGATGTAATCTAAGTAGACCAGAAGGGAAGGTATCACTCACCTCTGCCTTGTTAATCTGCAAACCAACACAGATGATGGAAACTAGGATATACTGCATATTGATGAAAAAGTACGGCCCCGCACCAAATACCAGAGCCTTTCCAAAGCTCGCTCTCCAATCTGGATCCCGTATCGTAAGCTTCATACTGTCCGTTCCACGAGAAGCGAAGAACAGCTTGATGCTTAACTGGGCCACCAAGTCGCCCATAAGCATGAACAAACCCAATTCGACGACCTGCCACGCCAAAAACCTCAATGTATCATGTCGCTTGCTCGACCAGAACCTTGTCCTAGGTACGTTCTTGACTTGGAAGTTATACCTGATGCCCCGCAAATTGAGAATCAGTGAGACTGCCCACTTTAGCTTTCGCCACTCAAATGCCGGCCATGTCAACGCAACACCAGGAGGTTTATCCACGGGCCAAAGCGCAGATTCTGGACTGGGCTTGTGATTCAGAAATTTCTCGATAGTGGCGAGCCAGTGGGGCCATGCGAGGGCGGCAAAGTTGGCAGCGCCGGGATTGTGTGTCCAAGGACTTAGTTGGGCCCAGAGACCGAGGGCTGCGAGTGTAATTATAGCGAGCGGTCTGCGGTGAGGAAAGGGTGGGCTACATAGAAAGAAGAGCTGCGCGAAAATGAGAAGTAGGTGCGGAATGGAGGTACCGTACGTGGGCTTCAGGGGGATGTCTTGCGGATCCATCGCTAGGATTATGATTGTCTCCAAGTGAGAAAGAAAAAGACTTTGGATGCCCCAGTTCTATTATGCATTGAGAAATTTGTCATGTTTCTGTAACTCGTTGTAATTGCGTGTATGAGAGGTGGTTGAGAAAAGGTAGGTCGCCGACTTGCGGACATGCAACTTTCAGACGTGTCGGTCGCCGACTGGATTTACTGTGTGACTATTTCAGATCACCATCAATGTCTTACATGAATGTTAGCCAACAACAATATGGATGTCACAGACAACATCACAACCCCGGTGGAAATTGAGCTGGAGACGCGGCAGCTAGTGTCTCAAATCCTGCCGATTGTCCTCCCGGTCCTCATCGTTGCCTTTTGCCTATCCCGCAGATCACCCTACAACGCCACTAGATTCGGCAAATCACGATGGTGGTCGCTCATCCCAGGTCAGGTGCCTATGCGATTTGAGATGGACAAATGGGCCGAACGTGGATACCGAAAGGTGAGAGCCTTTATTCTCGCTATGCTACATGGAGCTAATCCGTGGCGCAGTTTCACAAAGGGCTGGGAAAGCCATTCATCAGCAAGGTCTTTGGGTGGGATTACCTTCTCATGCCTCCCGAGTATCTTGATGATGTTCGCAAAGCAGATGAAGACAATCTCAGCTTTGCGCAATGTTTCAGTGAGGCCTTCAATGTCCACGTCTCTGCTGGCGATGTATATGCGTCGAAAATGATGCCTGATGCTGTCAAACAGTACCTCAATCCTCAATTGCGTACGTTCACGTTTGCATGAATACCTCACCACGTCTCCTAACGAATTACAGCATCTCTTGTGGAAACTATGGAAGCCGAATGCGAATACGTATTTGCAGCCGAGCTGGACGTTAGGGATGAATGGAAAACAGTCCGAGTTTTCCCCGCGTTTACGGAAATGGCACATCGCATCACCTGTCGTATACTACTTGGCGAAGAGCTCGCGCGCGACAAGACCTTCATCAAGGAATCGCAATCGTTCAACCGGACTCTTTTCATTAGTGCTATCATGGTCAACGGCATTGCCCTTGGACCATTCAGAAACCTGGTGGCATGGCTCACTGCAGCCAAACATCGAGTGCACCTCTCGCGTTGCATCAAGTTCCTACTTCCCCAGATCGAAAAGGTGCGGAGCCAACCTAAAGATCGCAACGATGCCGTAAAGTGGATGCTCGAACTTGCGGATGGAGATGAGGTTGAGTCAAACCAGGGTCGAATGGCGAAGCAGTTGATGCACCTCATGTTCGCTGGAAGCAGCGCGCCTGGAGGTCTGGTCGTGCAGATGATCTACCAGATCTTGATGAGCCCGGAATACCTCGAGCCACTAAGAGATGAAATCTCTCGCACGCTCGAAGAGACGGGTGGGTTTACAGCTAGCTTCGTATCGCGGCTGCCGCTCATGGAGAGTTTTGTGCGCGAGACGATGCGTCTATATCCCACTGGTGTTGGTAAGTGCTTCGCAACTCAGCCATATTCAGTGCTAATGCCACATCAGTATCGGTGACGCGAGCCGTGATGAACAAGCCCCACAGCTTCTCTGATGGCTACACACTTCCCGCGGGTTCTCGTTTCGCCTTTCCAATCCAAGCCATTCAACGTGATCCCGAGAATTACCAAGACCCGCTCACCTTCCGGGGGTTCAGGTTTGCAAATCCGGCCGACGGCAAGGAGGTCAATGCATCTACAGTGGATAAGACTTTTCTCACGTAAGCCTCCCCGTGGCGAGACTGTGCAGATAGAACGCTGTACTGACGTGCCGCAGATTTGGCTACGGTCGACACGCCTGTCCAGGCCGATTCTATACGGTCAGATTGGTGAAGCTCATTTTTGCAAAGCTGCTCCATGAGTACGACATGGAATGGGAAGGTGTCGTGAAGACGCGGCCTCCAAATATGTGCATAGAGGTACAGAATGGACCCAACATGGACGCGAAGATACGGGTGAGGCGCAGAGTACCTGGGACGGTCACCTGAGAATCTTCTTCAGCTCCTGAGCCTTCATCACCAACACGCGAAAGCTAGGAACATTTGCGTATATCAAATGTTTCCTGGGTGAAGATTGCCGTTCCTTCGATCGACATGCTTAGTAACATGAACACCCTGATGGAGTTGTTATGCAGAACATCCTTGTCAAGGGCCGGCGACCGAGAAGCGTTTTCTAGCTTAGACATGATTCATGTTGTATTAAAATGTTAGAATCGACTTTCTTCAGGATTTTTAGTTAGATCACGCATTCCTGATTCGAGAAGATGGAGAAGAACGAGCAATTAGTATCTCCCGAGGTGCTAGAGCGGAGGAAATCGACACGAACCAGATTTGGCATCTTGGCTTTGCTGGCGCTCCTCCTCACTGCACTGACGGCCGTAAAAACTTGTCGCTCGAATCCCACCAATCTCGTTGATCAGGTCCTTAGCGAAGTTCCACTGATTGGTAAGCGATAATACCTTGTCTCCTTGTAAGCCGATGTACTAAACAATGAAACTATGCAGATGGACACAATGACTTCCCAATCTTCATCCGCGCCTTTTACTACAACCACATTTACGGCTCCAATTTCAGCGACACGGCGGATCTAGTCGGGCAAGTCGACTTTCCCAAGTTGAAACGGAGTGGCCTGGGAGCCCAATTCTGGAGCGCCTACGTCGAATGTCCTCGTGATGGAGGCGATGTCAACGACCAGGGAACATACTACGAGTCGATGCACCAAACGCTGCAGCAGATCGACCTGATCAACCGACTCATCGACGCATACCCAACACGGCTGCAGCGCGCGACATCGGCTGCAGAGGTATGGGCGCAGTTTGCAAAATCGAAAGCATCCAGCATATCCAGTCTCATGGGCGTCGAGGGCTTGCATCAGGTAGCCAACAGCGGTTCCTTTCTGCGGTTGATGCACCAGATGGGCGTACGTTATGTGACTCTAACACATAGCTGCCACAATGCCTACGCCGATAGCTGCAGTCCGTCGGAGCCACTGAACAACGGCCTATCGGATGCAGGACGCGATGTTGTGCTTGAGATGAACAGGCTTGGCCTCATGGTTGATCTGTCGCACACTTCAGTGGCCACACAACGCGACGCATTCAACGCGTCGCGCGCACCTGTCATCTACACACATTCGGCAGCGCGCACACTCTGCGATCATCCGCGCAATGTCGCTGACGAAGAACTGTTGATGCTGAAGGAGAAACGCGGCATCATAATGGTGAATTTCTTCCCCGGTTTCGTGACGTGCAGCGCCCAAGCTACGCTCAAGGACGTCGCCGACCACATCGTCTTTTTGGGCGACTTGATTGGCTTCGAGCACGTGGGCATTGGCGCGGATTTCGACGGAATGGGCTTTGATAGTGGTCCAGTTGGGCTTGAGGATGTTGGGACCTATCCGGCGTTGATTAAGGAGTTGTTGCGCAGAGGCGTGTCGGTTGCCGACGTGCGTGGGGTGGCGGGGGCGAACATTCTGCGCGTATTGGCGGAGGTCGAGCAGGTAGCGCGGGACCTAGCGGATCAGCAGCCCCTTGAGGATCACGTGAAATCCATCTTCTAATTACAACCTCGTAGTTATAAGATGTATTATATTAAATCCGAGCTAATTTTCAGCAGAATAAAGACGCTCTAGTCTCTAACTTTAGAGAAGTGACAGAAAATAGTAATTACGTTATTACCGTAGCTAATAAGACAGCCGCTTTAATCTACTAATTAAAGCGTCTGCTTATACGCTATATTCTAAGTTAAGACACTACGCGGAGTAGAGTAGCTATAACTAGCACGTATGTTACGTGCAATAGATTACCTTAATAATACCTACGTCTCTACTTTTGTGCTTCTTTACCTAATATTCTTCTTAAGTTTTCTTACTAAAGAGAGAGAATTACATATTATACACAAGACTATAACTAATACAGCTAGTATTTATCTAATAATATAGATAATAACTTCTTACTAACTTTACTATTATAGAAAAGTTCTTCTTTAAATTAGATCTAATTGTACCTATTTTAATAATTCTAGATATAATAGTAGATCTCTCTAGGTACAAAATTACGTAAGTTTACTTTATATATTATTCTTATAATAAGTGTAGAAATTTTAAAAAGAAGGTTAGAGATATAATAGATAGAGTAATCTAAAGAATATAAGTTAAGGTAAAGAAGATAGGTATACTATTAATACTAATATAAGCGGTTTATATACTATTTTATATTATTAGCCTTACTAGAAAAGATAGCTTACCTAAAGCTACACTATCTATTAATTGCGCTAAAATCTTAAGACTACTATAATATCTAGCTTAGATATTATAATTATATAATACTATAAGTATAAAGGCTTTATAGTAGTCTAATTACGTAGCTACACTTCTACTATAGATAGATAAGCTTATCTTCTAAATATATAGAAATAGGCTAAAGCTAGAATAGATATCTACTCTTAAGATTAAAGAGTTTTAGATTAGTAGTAGGTATATAACCTATACTATAGAGCTATAGGTAGTTACTCTACTTAGCCTAGATTAAGCTCTAGACGTAGAGGCTTAGCATTAATATCTATAAATTAGATTAGATTACTAGTACGCTCTATTAGTAGTCTAATACTTAATAGAAAAGAGTCTAAAACCTATAACTATAATAATAGAATATAAATCTAATACACTTCTAAACTATAGCTATTTATAATAGCTAAGAATTTTAGCTCTATAAGAAAATAAAACTTTAAAACGTTTAGTGTAGTACTTTATTATATAAACTATAATTTTAGAAGTATATACGCGCTATCTTAGCTACGTTATATATTAGATACCTTTCTACTATTTACTATTTTCTACCTAGAACGTAGAGTATAAAATATATATTATAATCTTATACTATATCTATACGTAAGATAAGCTAGGTCGCTAAATAAGCTATTTAATAATATTAGATAATTATATAAATAAGGCTATAGAGCTACCTATAATAGCTATTATTATAAGATTTTATAAGGTTATAGTAATTATATTATTATAATAAAGTTGCGCTACTTATATTTACTTAGTAACTTAGTTATATAGCTATAGTAGGTTATCTAAGTTAGAATAGCTAGTATAGCTACTTTACTTTATATATATTATATAGTATTACTAATATCTTTTTAATACTTCTACTTTTAAGAGAAGCTTTATAAGGCTTTATACTTACTATTTTAGAACTATTATATAGCTTTTTAAGTATTATAAGCTACTTTTTAATACTTTTTTTTAGTCTACTCTTTCTCTTACTTCTTCTCTTTTACCTTCTTAAGCCTCTCTCTTTTAATATACTTTTATTTAGCTTTCTAAAGCTTATTTAGTTATAATTACTTTTTTTTCTAAGCTTTCTTTACTTTTTATACTTTTTTAAGTTATAGTTATTATTATTAAGCTACCTTATTATTCTAAGCTTAATAAACCTTCTTAGAAAACTAGAAAATAGCTCTACTATTATACTTATAAGAATTATTAAGTTATAGAGTATAGAACTTCTTTTTCTATCTATTTCTAATACTTATAGTCTACTAGAGGTCTCTTACTTTATACCTAAGAAGGCTTACTTAGATAAAGATATAATAAAAACTTTAGTAAAGCTTTTTAACCTTCTTATTATATTAATCTTTTACCTAATACTATATTATACTCTTTATTTTAATCTAGTCTTCTTTAGAAAAGTATAAAGATAAGCTATAATCTAAATTATAGCTCTTTTTAATAAATCTTCTAAGTATAACCTTAGTATTAGAAAGGTAAATACCTATAGCTTTAAAGAACTTTATAATTATTAAAGACTTAAAAGTAGTATACTAGACGCTTTAGAAAAGATAAAAGAAGTCTTTTTTTACTATTAGAAGTAGTCTCTAGCTATTCTAAAGGTACTTTATAAGCTTATTTAAGTAGACATTTAAAAGAGGTTTAAATAATAATATATCTAGAGGTTAAAGCGTATAAATAGCGTAAAAAAGAAAGATAGTAAAAAGAATCTTATTATTATTATAGAAATTAATAAAGTCTATAGTAATATAAAATCTATAGCTATTAAGAATAAGTAATTAGTACCTATTAACTTCTAAACGCTTTATCTCTTTTATAAATACCTTTTTAAGCTAGATAAGCTCTATATTATTATTTATCTAGTCTATTAAAGAGAATACTATAAAAACTAAGTACTTTTTAGCGTTAATAGCGTTAACCTATAAAGCTTATAAAGTTTTAGCGTCTAATTAGAAAATAAAAAATAAACTTAAGGCTATACTATTAGCGTAAACGTATACTAATATAGTAATTTATTAAGTATTACTATCTTAAAAGTATACTCTAACCTCTTTTTACTTATTTAATATCTTATTAAATACGCGTTTTAATTACCTAAGGTATTTAATTTAAAACCTCTTTTTATCTATATTATAAATCTAAGTAGGTTATACTCTATACTCTATTATTTTAGTATATAGAAGCTTAAAATATAACTTATATTTAGCTTCTAAGTTAGCTTTATAACATTTATAGTCTATTCTAAAGATATAGCATAATATAAGTTTAGATAGGTATTTTCTTATAAACTAGAAAACCTAGCTTTTAGAGACTAGCTTACTAGCTAACTAACTAGTAAACTATTATATTATTATTTTTATAGGTAGTAAATGTTATTTAGTAAGTATTTCTATATATTATATAAGCTTAGCTTTACGTTCTAGGTAGAGAGATTAGTTACGTACGCTATAGTTATTATTTTAGTATTTATATTATCTTATTAGCGTTATTTATTCTATGCTATACTTTTTAGTAATTTATTAGTATAAGAATTATTCTTCTAAATTACGTAATTTAATTTCTATAATTACTTCTTAAATTAGATCTATAGTTATTAAGTTATAATGCGTTAAAGTTTTATTATAGTAGTAGTAAAGGTATATAACTAGTAACTATATATAACTAGTGTATAGATACTATAGCCTATATAAAGGTACTTTACTTAAATAGTATAAAGTTAAAAGTTAGGTTTACTAAGGTAGTAATCTAAATAACTAGAGGTAAAGACGTTAATAAGATTATTTAGAGTATTTATTATTAGATATATACTTTCTATCTTCTTAATTATATAGTAATAGCTAGTACTATATCTATAGTTATAAAACTTAGGCTAGTACACTAAGCCTATTACTTCTAAGCTCTTTTAGTTATATAGCTATTTATATAGAAAATTTATATACTATATTATAGCGTAGTAGTATTACTATAATAGAGTAACTCTACTTTTTTATAAATTCTATTATAATACTATAAAACTTCTAGTGTCTATAGTCTTCTTAATCTAAATATATTAACTTATTTTCTTCTCTAAGTTTACTACTATAAGCACTCTATTATAAATAGCTTATTAGAGCTTATTTACTATAACTTTAATTAATAGAATAGACACTTCTATATATATATAGTATATAAGTAAAAGGCTTAATAAACTCTTTTAAATACTAGAGATATTATTAACTATAAGCTTAGAATCTTTAATACTATGTTTCTTAATTAAAACTCTAATAAAGATAGATTTAGATAATAAGAAGAATAGTATACCTACTAAGTAAAAAAGATTAAATATTTACTATTTATAAGATAGCTTAGTAATAAGCTTAAGATTAAAGCTTCTAGATATTCTACTTTACACTAAGTATATAATAAAAGTAAGTAAAAAAAAAGAGATTCTAGATATTAAAAGTAATAATAATATAATAGGTAATATATAAGTAAATAAAGAAAACGCTAGTAACTCTATATACCTAATAAATACTAGACTAGATATAATTATTTATAGAAAACTTCTAAATTCTAAAGAAAAGAGATTTATATACGTCTTCTAAGATCTAAAGTATATAGATATAGTAAAGATTAAATGTATAAAGAATATTAATAGATAAATAAAAGAATATATAAGATATAAGTTAAAGTTAAGCTTTATTTATATCTTAGAGTAGATTAAAGAGATAAAACGTACTATGTAGGTTATTAAAGCTAACTTAAAACACTTACGTATACTATAGAAGTACTCTACTTATAAGCGTACTTATAATAAATAGTTTAAGATTAATAAAGAGATAGTAAAAGTAAAAGTAATACTATAGGTTAAGTAGATTAATAATTAAGATCTTTATAATTTAAATAGAAATATTAAACTACTCTAGAGATATCTAGTAGAGTATAAAAGAAACTTTTAAGAAGAATTTAATAGTAAGAACTATAAAGCTTAATAGAAGTATTAGAACTAGATTCTATTAAAGCTTCTACCTAGCAAGATACTAATATTTAAGAAATATAAGAGAAAGTCTAGTAGTATAAAGTAGTAAATAATACTGTTATAATCTAATAATAGTAAGTAAACTACTTCTATGTATTAGTAGATTATTATACATATTAACGTAAGCTTAATTAAAGTACTATAGATATTAGAGATTAGCTAATTTCTTTATATAGTAATACAAATAGTAATAAATAATAGTATTAACTAGACGCTAAATATTAATCTCTAGTGTAATAGTTATAAT